GAATGTACAAGCATATTTATTGCTCACACGTGTTTGCCCTGTTGTCAGTGGGTCCTTTCCAACCCAAGAGGTACATGGTTTTTTGTTTTTCCCAAAAAAATAAAGTCTGCCAAGTGAATGCTGTCGCCTCAGGGTTAGTGCTAAGGGTGCGGGGACGCTGGTCCTTTGGGAGGCCCCAGGTGGCCGACCTTACCTGGGGAAGCAAGCCCACGGCGGGGTGACCAGCCAGTGGCGGCCAGCCACTTGGCGACAGGTTGACCCCGCCGTCCTCTGCTCTGGGAGGGGCCGTCTCGGTCCTAAGTGGACCACGTCACACGAAGCACAAGCACCTTTCCAGTCCTGAGTCCCCACCGATGCAGGGCTGCGGCTCACCCGCCCAGGACCTGCTGGGGCCACGGAGCAAGGGAGGTGTGGGGCGCCCGGGACCCCAGGCACCACCGGCGGATGCGTGCCGGGCCGCGGTCTGTGGGGGTGCAACCGAGGAGCTGGCTTGGGGGTGACACCCCCACCCAACGGCTGTCATAAGGCGCTGTGTCCCCAGGCGGAGAGGTGCTGGGTTCGGGAGACGCCTCGCTCACCAAACTCCCAGTGACCCGCTCGGCATGGGGCCCCCCCGTGACCACAGGAGGCCTGACGGTGGGGGCAGGAGTGGGGGGTCAGGAGACCCTTGAGGGCGAGGGGGCACTGGGAGGGCAAAAGCTGGTTGGAGCTGCAGGATGCCATCAGGATCTGCACCTGCAGGGGCCCCGGGGAGCTGTCACTAGAGCCCCCTGAACCAGTAGTTCTGGTGCTCCCGGTGCCCTGACCAGGCTCTGCGGTCCAATAGCACGCGGTGCCATGCTGTCTCTCAGTGGCTCACATGCTAAAGGCTCCAAGGGCTGTGGTTTCCACAGGAAGCGACAGCGCAGGAAGCTTGAGTGGCTCTGGGAGTGGGGGCCGCCCCAGGTTGGCTGGTACCTGGCCATGGGGTGCACTCAGGGGCAAGTCTTTTCCCATCTCCAGGCACTAACCCTGGGAGGGGCAGTGCCCCCAGGGTCGGCAGGGCCCAGCCATCAAGCATTAGAATACAGGAGGTGGAACGTATGGTCTATACCTATCTCCAGACCACAGGTCTCAGTTTCCTCATCTGTGAAGGGAGGGACTGGCCTGGGCCACCCTCCTGTGCCCGGCTCTGCACTGTCAGTCCAGCAGGCTCCCTGCCTGCCACCCCCCCCTCCCGCCGCTGAACTTTGGTCTCAACCCTCTGGGGACAGTGAGCGGCTAGGCCCAGGCCCAGCCCTGCCTCCTGTGCCCACGTCGGGGAGCAGCCCCCCTCCCCTGCCCGGGGGCTGGCTGAGCACCCAGGCCGGCAGTCTCCACAAACGGCACAGGAGGCACTGAGGGGGAATAATAGATGGTTGTCTGCCAGGGGAAAGACAGGGGGTAATCGAGTCAAAGCACAAACTGTCAACGCCCCGCAGAACAATGACAAAGCTCCGGGCGCTGATGGGGGCGCAGAGTCAGGAGCCCAGATCCTGCCAGGATCTGCGAGACTGCGGCTGGTGATAGTGGTGAAGGTCACGCTTCTGGAAATAAACACGCTTCGATCCCGAACGTGGGGCACACGGCCCCCCGCCCATCAGACAGCAGCCGACACTCCCACCCCCTCGCCCCCACGGCCACCCAGCTCAGCTGTGGCCACAGCGGGCGGCCTGATTTGCTGACTTCGTTTGGCCGGCAGCCAAGGGTCAGGGCTGAGGTCGGCGCTGGCTCCTGAGCGCTGTCCAGGTGTCGGGGGGAGGAAGGAAGGTCTGGAGAGCCGCCCTGTGTCTGGCCAGAGGGACAGGACCCATGGGGGGTGGGGTGCTGATCCTCCCCAGGAAGACCAGTGGCTGATCAGCCATCCCTTCTAGGCCTCCCCCAGACCCAGCAAGGCTGGAGCCACGAGTCTGAGCCACCCCATGCCTGTCCCAAATCTTGTCTTCCTGTCCTTTCACCTGACAGGGCATCACCGTTAGCGTCTTCATCTTCTGCTGGGAAGGCAGAGGTTCAGAAGGGCAAAGGGACCTGCCCAGGGCCACCCGGCCACGGCCTGGAGGGGCTCAGGCTCCCCATCCAGCCGCTTCCCACACGGACACAGCTGGAAGGCGAGTCCTCTGTGCAGGGGGACAGGGGAGGGCCAGGGTCTTGCTGCTGCAGAAGGCCCTGGCCAGCAGCACCTGGCGGGGCTCCTGGGAGTCGTTTCGGACTCTGGAACCAGGGACAACAAGAAGGCCCCAGGGCCCATCGTGTCTGAGTGATGTTTGTTTATTGACAGAAAACAGGCAAGTCCGGAAGGGCCCAGGGCTGAAGCATCTTCTTGAAGGCAGAGGCAGGGTCAGCTAGGCTCCGTCTTGCCAGGGTGAGTGGGATCCTGGTCCTCACTCGCTTCTGAAGCAGAGGTGGATTTGGGGTTCCCTGCAGCCTCTAAAACCAGCTCTAGGGCCCCATCGCCAGCCACTCGGCACACCTTCTCCCCTTTGGCCGCCAGGATTTCTTCGATATTCCTGAGAGACGAGGAGGCACCGTGACACTCCAGGCCCAGAGCCCATCCCGTACCTTGGTCCTTCAGGGGAACCCCAAGGCCGGGCTCGAGCCAGGAATGTGGGTCCCCACACTGGTGTGCCATCAAGGGCCCTGCATGCTGACCTGAGGGACCTCCAGAGCCCCCAGAGGAAGGTGCTGTTACCATCCCGTTCACAAGTAGGACGGACACTCGCTCAGAAGCCGAACTGAAGTGCCCGGGGCCACCGGCCAGGAGGATCCCGACCACTGCCCCCCACTGCTCTCCACAGGAGGGATCCACACCGCCTCACACACGCCCCAGGTCTGGTGTGACCAACCAGCCAGCACCGGCAGAAGAGGAGCTAGGACCCTGCTCGGGAGCGGGCACTGCACAAAACTTTGCAGGGGAAGGAAGGAGCCACAGAATGAAAGGGAGTCACGGCTGCAAGAGTCGCCTAGTCTGACCCCTCACTTTAGCGGGGGCCCAGAGCCCTGACACGTAACTGGGTCTTGCAGACCCCAAAGGCCACACCGGTGAGGGCAGAGGTCAGGCAGTAAAGCGGGACCAAAGTGGGCTGGTCTAGGGTGGAAAAGTTTAGCAAAGAAAAACAAGTCTCTCCTGGGGACTTATGCCGAAGTTCCTTGTTCACCTGAAACTTAAACTTAACGGCTCCTCCTGCATTGACAAGGCTGGGGAAGTGGACTGGAAGGGCGCCCCAGGGAAAGGTGGGGCGGGGCTCCTGACCCACCAGGCCAGCCCTGGCACACAGGCCTCTGTCCCCCCACCCCTGTCCAGGCAGCCTCACCTCTTCCCATCCAGGTCCGAGAACCAGCCCAGGTTGTCGGCGATGATGTGGTGATTCTGGCAGCCAGGGCAGGTCACGATGACCACGCCCTGGTGATAGGCCAGCTTGGAGATGCGCTTGGAGGACCGAGTCCCACAGACCTGGGGGAGACCCGCAGCCCAGGTGAGTCCAAGTACTTGGCCCCGCCCCTCAAGGAAGACCCCGCCCCCTCTGAGGATGAACTCCATCCCTGGGCAGGGCCTGCCCTCTCCGGAAGGGCCGGCCCTTTCTGAGACAGCCCACCCCGATCCCGGAAAGGCCCCGCCC